GGTCCTCTTATCGCATTACAAACATAATTCTCAATTAACAGTGCGGTACAAGATATATTTAGGTTGTATAATCAAGCCGTAATACTTGTCGTGAGACCATAAGACCGTATGTTATAAATAAATATATTCCTACAAGAATTATCTTAAAAAATGAGAAAAATACAATAAAAAAGTGCAATATGAAGTGTTATTTAAAAAATGGCAAGTCATTCACGGGCGGACAGTTAAAAACAAAAGTTTTCAGTGTTCTATTGCTTGATTATTATTATCTAATTGGTATATTTTAAAAATACTAGGGACCTCCCCACCGACCACAATCTTCTTCTTACAACAATTAGGATAGAATTTAAAAGAACAAAAAGAAATAAGCAAATAATAGCTATTAACCCAGATAAGCTTAAAGAAGAATCCACTAGTAATAAAATACGGGAAGAAATACATAGACACTTGAGTAACAGAACAGTACAATCGACACAAACTCCCGAGGAAGACTGGCACTATATTGAGAAAACACTTACAAGAGTAACAAACCATGGATGACAGAAGAAATTCTAAACATGATGGATGAAAGAAGAAAATACAGAGGTAAAAATGAAACAACATACAAGCAAATACACAAGAATATCAGAATAAAGATCCAACAAGCCAAAGAAACCTGGCTAAGTGAAAGATGCCAAGAAATTGAAGAGTTGGAACAAAGACATGATACTTTCAATCTACATAAAAAAGTAAAAGAAGCCGCTGGAATATTTAAACAAACTCCTACGTCTTTCATCGAAGATAAACATGGGAACCCGCTACTGAACAGAGAAGATTAAATAGGTAGATGGAGAGAATACGTGGAAGAGATGTTTCAAGACCGAGAGAGGACGAACATTTACATGCAGGAGGCATCGACTGGACCTTATATCACAAAGCAAGAAATTATCAAAGCGGCAAATCAGATAAAGAACGGAAAAGCTGTTGGGGAAGATAATATCCCAATTGAAATAATAAAGATATTACTAGACGAACACATCGAAGTAATGGAAGATATATTTAACAAAATATACGAAACAGGCATAATACCAAATGATTGGCTGACATCGGTGTTTATACCACTACCAAAGAAGAAAAACGCCAAGAAATGTGAAGACCATAGGATTATTAGCCTGATGAATCATATATTGAAACTTTTCCTACGAGTAATACACAATAGAGTATACAATAAACTAGACTAACACACTGGTCAAACTCAGTTTGGTTTTAAGAATGGGTACGGAACAAGAGAAGCACTTTTTTCAATACGTGTGCTAGTTGAAAGATGTAGAGATGTCGATTCTGATGTATACTTGTGTTTTATATACTTTCAGAAGGCGTTTGACCTGGTGAAACATTATAAACTAATAGATATTTTAAGGTCATGTAATATCGACGATAAAGACTTAAGGATCATTTCAAACCTTTACCAAGAACAAAAGGCTAAAATCAGAATAACAAGCGAAACATCTGGAAAAATCAATATCGAGAAGGGAGTAAGACAGGGATGTGTCCTATCACCTTTGCTGTTCAATGTTTACTCTGAGAAGATATTTCAGAAAGCTTTGGAAGGCACCTCGGATGGTATAATTATAAACGGGCAATGTATAAATAACCTGCGATATGCTGATGACACTGTCATACTGGCAAATAATGCTGAAGCCCTGCAACGCTTAATGGACCGAGTAATGACAGCCTGTAGAGAATTTGGAATGAAATTGAATACAAAGAAGACAAAAACGACGATCATCAGCAAGCACCAAAACAGAAGGGTGAAGGTCAATGTCGACGGAACAGATCTGGATAGAGTAACAAGAACAACGTACCTTGGAAGTAATCTTGATGAAACTTGGGACCACTCACTAGAGATAAGAATACGCCTGAAAAAGGCACGTACAATGTTTTACAAAATGCAAAAAGTTCTATCATCCGCCAGCTGGGCATCTCATTGAGAACTAGAATACTTAAGTGCTATGTTTTCTCCACCCTGCTCTATGGTGTTGAAGCCTGAAAGCAACACAAAAAAGAATCCAAGCATTCGAACTCTGGTGTTACCGTAAAATGCTCAGAATATCCTACATGAGCCATACGACGAATGCGGAAGTCTTGCGGAGAATGAATAAGGAAAGAGAGCTTATGCTTATAATAAAAGAACGGAAAACACAATATTTTGGTCACATCATAAGAAGTCAAAAGTATGAACTGCTCCAACTTATAATCGAAGGCAAAGTCAATAGCAAAAGAGGACCAGGAAGAAGACGCAACTCTTGCAAAAAAACTCTCGCAACTCTTGCAAAAAAACTCTTGCAACTCTTTCTAAAAACTTACGGCAATGGACGAACATGACCTCCATAGAACTATTCAGAACTGCTACAAATAAGATTAAATGGGCAAATGTAATGGCCAACGTCCTTAAGGATAAGGCACCGTAAGAAGAAGATTGGTTAAGTGCTATCATTTGAGATATCGTACGTCACTATTGGCCTAATAGGACCAAAGGTACATAACTAAGGCCCTTTTGACATGCAACTCCATTACCTCATTGTATCTCATTGTATTTTATTTGTTAAATCCTTTCATTTGAGGTACTGCACGTCATGATTGGACTAACAGAACCGAAGATACACAACTAAGGCCCTTTTGACATTGTGCTGTATTTCATTTTTCTATCCCATTGTATTCCTTACGGTAAATCTTATCATTAGAGGTACTATACGTCACGATTGGACTAATAGGATCAAAAATACGTGACTACGGCCCTTTTGACATGTTGCTGTATTTGATTTTTCTATTTCATTGTTTTCGATTGGTTAAATCCTATCATTTGAGATACTGTACGTCACGATTGGACTTATAGAAACGAAGGTATATAACTAAGGCCTTTTTGACATGCTGCTTTTCTGTCTTATTGTATTTTATTGGTTAAATCCTATCATTTGAGGTGCTGTACATCACGACTGGACCAATTGGAGCAAAAATATGCAATATATACCCCGTTATATATACCCAATATATAACCCGTTATTTTTAATCAAACAAGATGCTAGAATGATTTATGGATGAAAAAAATATATATAAATTCTTAAATTTACCATTTCGTTGTGGGTAATATTATATTCAACAGCGATGCCAAATTTCTGATGCCAAAATGATTGATAATGAAAGTGCGATATACATTTTCATGTATATAATGGCAGCGAGTAAACGGTAAAACCCTGAACTAAATATATATAATATTTTCACTGTACCATCATTTTAGGCTCAAACATTTCCTGGAATAAACTTATATAACTCAGTAAGGGATAAAAAGAGAAAGCGGACATTTTAAAATACCAACACGGTATCAAATCTCTAATCATTGAGATGGTTAAAATTCTTGTAACAAGTACAGGAAAAAAGTTATTAAGGTCTTGTAAAGTAGCGTCGATATACAGATGCTACTTTGCAAGACGATGCTAAATTGATGGTAAAAGCATAATGTATCGATGCCAAAATGATAGTAGGATGTATATATATATATATATATATATATATATATATATATATATATATATATATATATATATATATATATTGTGGATTAACATTCTGTAGCGTGAATCTATTCGACAATTAACTAGCGCTCCTTCCACTGCCCATAGTTCTATGCTGTCAAACGCTCTTTCATAGCCAACAAACGCTAGGTATATTGGTAGGTTGTATTCGTTGGTCTTTTCTATCAATATTTTAAGAGTGTGAAGGTGGTCGGTTGTGCTGTACCCCTTTCTAAATCCTGCCTGCTCAACTGGTTGGTATGCATAAAATTTGTTGTTTAGTCTAGTTGTGATCACCTTAGTGAAAGTTTTATAGATTTGTGACAAGAGAGATATTGGTCTATAGTTAGCTAATTTTGATCTGTTTCCTTTCTTATATATCAGAATTGTATTTGCCTTGTTCCACTCTTGCGGTATTTGTTCTTCAAACAAACATTTATTGAAAAGTTTCTTTAGGTAGTCTTTTATCTTTTCCCCTCCTTCTTTTAACATTTCAATGTTAAAAGAAGGGCATGTGGGCACTATGCCCGACATAAAATATATTTTCATTGAAAAATAATAGTATTGTATGTTGTTTACAAAACTATTGAGCATTTCAAACAGCATTCTTACGGATTAGTCTGGTTTAGGGGTTTTCACCTGCAACAAATCTATTTTAGCAAGTAATGTAGACTAGTAATTATATTCCAAGATCACATATTTTACTATGTATGTATTTACATGATACAATAAATTATACGATATAATATACGATTATTATAGCTTTATTTAAGGTGAAAACGGAATAACATCCCCCTAGGTTTCAATAAAGAACCGAAATTAGCAGGAAAAGATTGGGTAACTGATTGAGAATTAAGAAAAATAGAGAATTTGATATGATCTCAAATATGTAAACAATAATGAGATAATGAACATAGACGTTTTTAAAGATGAATTACATGCTATGATTTTTTTTCTGATGGATATTTTCAAGTTAAAGTTGACTTCATGTAATCGAATGAACTATCTTATAAATAAGTAAAGTCGTCCCAGGAGCGCGTCTCAACAATATTGGCAATATCATTTTAAAGTCGCCTACTTTAAAATGTATAATGCATGTCTGAATTGTCAATATAAATGAGTCAGATAAAATTAAATTATTAAAAGAATTTTTCACTAAATAACAAAAAAACAAAATTTGTTTAATTTACTAATGTTTGTATTCCGAAGTGAAAAGTGAAACATTTACTTTAACCGTTAATTGTGGCTTATTTCCATTTAAATAGTAATTAATTTAAAATGACACAAGAAAATAGCTTCAGAACAATATTAAGAATCCTATTGAATTTGGATTATAGTTTGAAATAATTGAGCGCAAATTTATCACGTTTCGCTTGACTCAATGGCATCCTAATTAAAATATAAAGTTTTATCTTGCTTTATAATAAGGATAATAAATTTAGTACGTACCGTTCTCCGTAGTTTCTTTATAATTTGTTTGTTGAATCTTTTGTTTTTCAATTTCTTCTGCATGATTATTTTTTTTGTGATTTTCAAGGTCTTCAAGATTTTCGGAAGAAAAGGCACAAAAACTACAAAATATTCCTATATCACCATGTATATTTAAGTGATCATATATTTCTCCGTGATCAACTAATTCAATCTTACATTTCTTACACACATATGGATCCCTTTCATATTTGCGTCTAATATGTATCATCTTCTCATGTAAATTATGATTTTTGGTTGGCCAAAATTCGTCACAAAGTTTGCATTTATGTAACGATTTTGCTTCATGAAACTTATTTCTATGGGCATTGTACTGGATACGCCAGTAGGTCACAAAATTACACTCTAGACAGCGATAAATATCCTTGTCTTTAGAATGAACTTTCTCTATATGCTCCATAAAATCAGAAAATTTCAGGAGAATGCAATTGCATTTATAGCACCTGAAACTATAAGAAACAATTTAAAAAGAATATGTTTATACATGATTATGTAATTCCTATTCCGCTTCATATTTAAAATACAATATGCAATAAAGTATGAAACACTTAAACATGAAAAATTCAATCATTATTCAAATCCCTAACTATACAGGGTGAGTCATAACTATTGGGACATAGACTAAGGACAGGTTAGTTGGACCAAAATATGGCTATTGGGCCAAATATGCCTTAATAAAATGTTGTTGAGAAAAAAGACACAGGGTGTTAAAGTGGAAATTTAAAATTTTATTTTTGGCTATAACTTTCATGTTTAAAAACATTTATGTATAAAAATTTACAGCTGGCTACTATTGAATATCAGAAATTATAATTTGATGCATACTTTAATATATCTAATAGAGGGCGCCACATATGCCACTTACGTGGCATACTTTTACACTTAACTTTTTTGTTCTTCAAGTTATTGGTATTCTTGATAAAAACTATTAAAGATACATTATTTAAACAAAAAAAGGTATACGTGTTAATAACTTCAAAACTCTACAGTTTTCGAGATAATCGCATTTTACAAATCAACTATACTTCATCTAATTTAGATAACGACTTACGTCATTAACTACGTCAGAGATCGAAGTTGACATAGTTGCCAAAGTATAAAAAAATCCTGACTCCATGTTAAATCAAATAGATTACATAATTATTGCAAAAGCATTACCATCTCTTTACAACGACTATTTAAATTCTTACGTGACATTTTTGAAATAAAACACACTAATTTTGTTCTAAAAAGAACAGATTTTATTAGATAGTTAAAAATATAAAACAAGAGATATTCACTTTAAAATTCAAAATAATGAAGTACAAAAAGTGTCAACACAGCAAATGTCAAATCAGTGTTACCAATTTATGCCGAAATTTTACCTTCGTTCGATTACAGTTACAGTGTGTTCCTAACAAATGTTCTTGATGAAAACGCTTTATAATGCATTTAAACAAATTAAATGAAACATATTATTGTGTATTTCTTCAAGTTAACATTAACAGAAATTTTAAAATATGATTTCTACGCGTATATAATAAAATATGTCTAGTGGCTGTAATGTCAGTGTACTCGGTAAGGTGATTCTAAAAAAGAACACACCTACACCCTAAATATTTTGTTGGTATCATGTGGCGTCATAGGCTATGACGCCGATGACGTGCATCGTTATATAAATTAGATGAAGTGTACTTAATTCTGATTTAATGCAATTACTCCAGGCAATGAAAGAAAAATAGATAAAAACATCAATACTTCTGAATTTTGTTATAAAATACCTTTAACAAAGTCAATAGTTAACGAAATATTGAATAAAATAAATATATCAGCAGGATAAATAATAATAGGATTTGATAAAATAACAGAATAATTGGATTTTACATCAAACATTTTACGTTTTGTATTAAATTAAAGTCATAATCAAATCATTTTATTTACAAACCAAATTAAAAAATAGGTAAACTAAATAACATTAAACTTTTTATCAAAGTCAGTGTTCGATATGTCCACCATTTTCTTTAATTCATTTGTCAATACATTCCATAAAATATCGTCTCATATTAAATAGCATCATTGGTTCTAAAGAAACTGCTGCAGTATTTATTATAGTTGTTTTAAGTATAATAATTAGTAATTTTTTGAAATGTTTATGAATTAAATAATTATTATTATCTCACCACAAGAATATGACCACCACGAACAAGCCAACGTTCAGGAAAGTGTATTTAAATACTGTCTCACTCCGCTTTCTCTGTAATGTAATGGTGTACCATCTTGTACAAACCTCATATTTCGTCTTAAGTTTGATGACAATTCTTCCAATAGATCAATAAAATCATTTTATAAAAAATGTAGATAAATCTCACCATTTAAATTGAAAGGTAATTCGCATATCTGTAAAATATCATTCAAAATTCATATTTAAAATTCAGTCCCATGGTTTGGAACCATTGATAATTATTTTTTTCGGATATACGAATTACCTTGCAATTTGAATGTCGAGATTGATTTACATTTTTAATAAAATGATTTTATTGATTTATTGGGAGAATTGTTATCAAACTTAAGGCAAAATATGTGGTTTCTACAAGATGATACACCATTACATTACAGTGAAAGCGGAGTAAGACAGTATTTAAACACACTTTCCTGAACGTTGGATTGTTCGTGGTAATCATATTCTTGTGGTGAGATAATAATAATTGTTTAATTCATAAGAATTTCAAAAAATTACTAATTATTATACTTAAAACAACTATAATAAATATTGCAGCAGGTTCTTTAGAACCAATGATGCTATTTAATATGAGATGATATTTTATGGAATGTATTGACAAATGAATTAAAAAAAAAATGTTAGACATATCAAACACTTACTTTGAAAAAAAGCTTAATGTTATTTAGTTTACCTATTTTTAAATTTGGTTTGTAAATAAAATGTTTTGATTATGACTTTAATTTAATACAAAACGTAAAATGTTTGATGTAAAATCCAATTATTCTGTTATTTTATCAAATCCTATTATTAATTATCCTGCTGGTATATTTATCTTATTTAATATTTCGTTAACTATTGACTTTATTAAAGGTATTTTATAACAAAATTCAGAAGTATTAATGTTTTTATCTATTTTTCTTTCATTGCCTGGAGTAATTGCGTTAAATCAGAATTATGCAGTTGATTTGTAAAATGCGATTATCTCGAAAACTATTGAGTTTTGAAGTTATTAACAAGTATACCTTTTTTTTTGTTAAAATAATGTATCTTTAATATTTTTTATCAAGAATACCGGTAATTTGAAGAACAAAAAAGTTAAGTGTAAATGTATGCCACGTATGTGGCATATGTGTTCCCCTCTATTAGATATATTAAAGTATGCATCAAATTATAATTTCCGATATTCAATAGTACCCAGCTGTAAATTTTTATACATAAATTTTTACAAACATGAAAGTTATAGCCAAAAATAAAATTTTAAATTTCCACTTTAACACCCTGTATCTTTTTTCTCAGCAACATTTTATTAAGGTATATTTGGCCCAATGGCCATATTTTGGTCCAGATAACCTGTCCTTAGTCTATGTCCGAATAGTTATGACTCACCCTGTATACTGCTCTGAGGAGACCTAAAGAGGTTGAAATACGTATAAGCGGCTTGCCGCTGCTCTGTATTGAAACAAAAATCTAATACCGTCTTTATATTTTATTTCTTTACACCGTTTGGAGTACCAGAAATTTAATTCACTACGAATTTTGACCATGATGAACGGCATGTGGAATACAATCTTAAGATTCCCTTGCCGAGTAATTTATCAAGCTGTTTGCTTTGCAAGTTTTAGAAAACACAGTGGTAAAAATTTGAATTCGATTTCGTCAGGTAGATATGGTATGATTTCTCATTTTGTTAAATAAGAAAAATCGTCGACATCCGAAAACTTTAGATTTGCCTCAATCAATTAAGTTGGCAATTAAAAATTTTAAATATAATATGTATAAGGCTAAAGAACATGTACCAAAGAGTGCTTTGTTACAACAAAACATAAGGGAAAGGGAACTGTGTTATATTAGTTTAACCAATTTGTCGAGAGTACTGAAACATTTAGGTTTATGTGAACTCTATAATGTTGTATCAAAATGGTGGCATTTTTTAAGAAAATACATAACCAATAAGACCTCTGACAATCAAAGGCAAGTTGTATTTTTAGACGAAACTTATTCTGCTATATTATTAAATGCGATTCCTCCAACCGTTCCAGTAATTGTAAAAGATTTATCATACTTTATGCCGGAAATAATAAGTGCTTTATTCTTGATGCAAGCTTAATTTTTTTCGTCCACAAAGAGTACAGACGATTACAACTGAAATGTGCAAATATTTTTGAAGAACGGTTTGAAGAGAATTTGTTCAAAAAACTATAGTATAGTATAACACTCGGTCCCGGTCATAACCTGTGGGGAGAAAACTATGACTCTAACCAAGACTACGGCTTCGAAATTTAGAGTGGCACAGAGATGAATGGAACAGTCTATGCTGTGAGTGACGTTGCGGGCCCGAATAAGAAACGAAGATTTGCGAAGAATGACGAGTATTGCTGATGATGTGGAATGCATAGAAGAAACTGATTTAAAACATTGATTTGCAAATTGAGATTTTTTTCAATAACTAGACTGTCTTTGGTATTTTTATCTTAATTATATGTTCACATGCATTTTATTGTTGTTTACATCACTAACCTAACCTTACATGTTTGTTTATAAAAAACTGTACCCACTAAAAAAATTGCAGACTAAAGGGCAAAGCTTTGAAACAAAATTTGACTGTAAAATAAAAATGAGTGTTTTATGCATATCACACGCAGGTATCATCAGGAGTGGCAAACATGAGACTATAGCTTATTCGTAATGTACCGATTTACTTCTAACCTATTGTCAACAAAAATCTATTATTAAGTGTAAGTAAATATACTTTATTATTAAAGAATTACTTTTCTTAAGAAGTATGTTCAATGTATACACAATCAATTTATATAACTGGCTTATTCTGTCTGCCTGTCTGTCCATAAGGCAAACCCCAGCGCTGGTATTACATCATATCCCTGTTGTTATTGGTCCGATTAGAGTGTGTGAAACGTTAAATGAAAGGGAAGGGTATAACGATTATATTGTTACGATTTTAAATGTTATGGCATATAGAACTGTAAATATTTTATGACTAATTCTTTTTTTATTGATTCTCGTAATTTGTAGGTCAAAATCTACCTGAGCTTCGATACCAGTTGTTTACAGAATAATCTCGACCCTAATTTTAGTGAGTCATCCACGACTCGAAGTTGAAAAAGAACTAGTCTCAGCGGTTAATTGCCTTCACCGAAAAAACCAGTATATTCCATGATGTTCTTTGCAAAAGTAGGTCACCGAACTTTCCAGATAGCGGAAGTTTCTTTATATATAAACACGAAATTTTAT